AGGAATGTTTGAAAATTCATCTTCCAATCCTGCAGTGGTCGCCGGCCTAGCTTTGGATGAAGAAGCTTCCGGGTCCTCGGAGACGGGCTCATCGAGCAAAGCCTCGCGAGCCTTCTCTCGTTCGTCTTTGATGATGGCGAGTCTCCGCTGTTTTGTTGACATTGTTTTCCAAAGAAAAGGTGGAATACTGTCGGGTTTGCTCGATCCTGAATACCTTCGGGCTTTCACACCCCCCGCATCGTAATGAGCACCTCCATCTTTGGGAACAAAGGTGTCCTTGCTGGTCTTCAAATCAATGACTTTGACCATTTCCTCCGATGCGGGTCCCTTTTTGGGGGAATCTTTGATCAGCTTTCCGAGGTTTTCAGCGAGTTCCTGATCATCGATGTCATCCTGGCCTGGCATCTCTGCCGGCAAATCCTCCTCCAAGAGCGGCGCATCCAATGCAGCTGGATCGGGCGTCTCAGGAGCGTATTCAAGCCCCGGCATAACGCCGTTCATGTGCAATAAGTGCCGTTCGACCATTGGAAAAGAGAATTCGCCATCCGGACATTTGATTTGATTTACCCTCAAAGGAGCAATAGGTTGATCATAGTCCTTCTCCATCAAATCTCGCAAAGGAATAACGAGAAATTCATGACGCCAAAGAAAGTCAGGATGGATGGGATACCCCAGAAATATTCCAGCCCTGGAAGTAGGTTCAAACTTCAAAGGCTTGTTGGGTCGATTCCTCGGGCCGGTCCAAAAGTTGACTTGACAACCAAAGGGCAAATATGGTCCGGGAAAATCTTCTCCAAAACGTACCTTCCATGGTGAATAATAATCTGGGTGGTCCGTGATGTTATGCGCCATGCAATAGTGTTTGGCCGCATGTGGCCAATACGAATGATGCAAACCAGCTTGTTCCAGGTTGGTCCTCGTGCCCTCGATAATCGCCCTGACGTTCCTCTCAGCAATAGCATTTGTTTTGGAAATGTAGTTTGTACTTTGAACATGCTTCCATTCCAATTGATCTGCCGCTTTCACAAGTTCAGGAGCCCGATCACTGTAAAACACGTTCACGGTTTCCCCGGTGCGGACAAAGTGCTTGAATGCCATCACACACTGATGAGAGGTTTTCCGTGCTGCCGGGTAAACATAACGGAAGTCAGTGGCAACATCTCGAACAACAAGTGCAACTCTAGATTGGTCAATGCCGATTTCACGATCATCTGATGTAATAAGATGGTCCGCCGTGAGGTGATCACCAAACTTCTTGGCCTCGACTTGAGTGGAACCTCCCTTCTGTCTTGATGGATATTTGTACATCTTCGCCCTGTTGCAAGTCTCACAAAAGGGATTTTTGGGAGTGTGACACATCAAGTGCTGGAGTGAGGTCGCCTCATCACGCAAAGCTGCTTCACCGCGTTCGCGAGGGGCGTCCTTCAAAATAGGCTTCGACACAAAATCGGAAGCGATGACCTTAGGCGCATCTTCGGAGGGAATGTCATGGCACTCTTCAATGACCTCACCTTCCGGTTGGCTAATGGTGTCCTCAAGCAAGAAGTCATCGTTCCCCAATTCATCCCCATCATCCTCATTGGTCACAAGCACCTCTTCAACAGCTTCGGGTTCCTCGTCAATGACCAGAACTTCATCATCGATTTCAATGGGAGCTGATGGTAATGATGTAACCTTTGGAATGCTCTGTGACAAAGCTGGAACAGCATTTTGAGTTGCTGGGGGAATGAATGGGACATTGTCTTTGACCTCGAGCTTGATGCGTGAACCATCCGGAAGTCGAAAATAAGGCCTGCTGTGGGCTCTCCAAACGAAATCATATCCGTCCCTGAGGCATCTCATACCCACGGATAACACGGATGGAGCCTTGTCAAGAACATATGGCCGAACAACACTATCGGTCTGTTGGATCTTGACCCTGGCCTGCTTTGTACCGATGATATTCCCATTAGCTGTGGAAAATTTCAGAGGCTGAGACGATTCGTAAATACATCCCATCTCCGCATCGGTTCCCGCTAGCAAGTCCTGAGAAGCTCCTGTATCTGCGATCCACGGAATGTGAGAAGAATCCATTGTCATTCGAGCAACAGCAGCTTTCCCCTTTTTGGGGGAGGTCACGGACTTCTCTGGCTCGGCCGTTAGGCCTGCGGGGATGCAGGAATCACAACCGAAATCAGAGTCGCATTGAAATTTGCAAGGAGTCTTCGTGCCTTTGAGCAAATCCTTCATCATAGCTTCATGCATGGTGCCGATAAGAATTGCGTCAGAGACGGCTCTCTCATCGAACTTCGGAACATAATCAACAGGAAACTCGTGTGCAAACCTTCTCGACGAGGCAGTGTAGGGCCAAAGCTCGCCGTCAGTCTCATAGTTCGAAATGGATGGGTAATCAGAAAATTGCACGCATTTCTTGATGCATGGCATACACTGGAAAACATCGTGAGTCACACTAGGCAAGCAAGGATGCGAGGCGACCGAGTCGAGGGTCGCGGCGCACACCATCGCCTGGAGGAGGCACACCGCAGCATTGCTGCCTTTTGACGATCGCGGAGACTTGAGGGACTGAGAACCCTTTGAATCTTTCGAATCTTGAGAAGAAGGCCTGCTATCCTTCTTCCCCTTTTTCTTTTTCTTGTCCCTCGGCGACGTCTTGGGGGTGTCTCCACTAGCGGTCTTCTCGGCCTTTGGGGCTGGAGCTGCCTTGGAAGTTGCGGGGTGCTGCCATGGGCAATCCTTCCCTCTCTCACATCTGTTCGCTTTGAAGAACTTGCACACCTGGGGTTTCGAACCAGGAGGGCTCTGCGAACGATACTTCCTTGGCGTCTGGGGTCTGGACCCGCCCTTCTTGCCTTTCCCCTTACCTTTCGGTGCCTTAACATGTTCGAATCGGCAGTCTGAACCATAGGTGCACTGGCCAGTTTGAAATTTGATGCATACACCCTTGGGGATTCCAGGAACTGCAGGGTTGTTCGATGGAGTCCTGCCACGCCCCGTTGTGTTGCTTGACATAGCATCCCGCATGTGAACAAGCCTCTTGCGCTCCAAATAATTCCTCGATGCGTCAATCAAGAATTTATAGGAGTGCTTTTCCGTCCCTTCCTCAGCTCGCTCATACTCATTGAGATCATGACTGAGGGGCCGAAACTTTCGAATCTGGCGGTGGAACAGCGCTTCGAGGGTCTTCTCATTTTGCTCATTGCCCATTCCAGCGATGACCGTGTCCCATCTCGTCATGAAATTTCTGAGGTCCTCGTTGATGAGCTGGACAGAGAGCAAGTCCTCAAAGTCGTAAATCGCACCATGTTTGATGTTCGTGCTGAAGTGCTTGTGAACCATCAGAAGAATTTGGCGCCCCCTCGCATAGCGTTTCTCCTTTGCTTCTTGTTCTTTGAAAATGTCCACTTGCCGCGCGAGGTCGCCCTCCAAGATATTCGTCAACGCCGATGCCAGCTTTGCATCAAGATGGACAAACATTCCTGAATCACGAAGGACTTCAACAGTTTGACCTGGGATCCAAGTTGCCTCAATCCATTCGAATGCCTTTTCGGGTTGGTCGGAAGTAGCAACAACAGCATCCCTAACTTTGATCCTCCAATTACGGTACTGTTCGGGCTTCGGGAATCGGGGAATCTGAATTCTGTCACCCTCCTTTACACGAACGCGTTCCGCTGTCGGATCGCTCGAATTACCTAAGTGCTTCAGTAGCTTTCGTCGAAAAGATTCATCCGATGCAGTTGAAGTTGATGATGAAGATGACGAGGGAGAAGACGACGGATCTCGTCGCCGGCGTCGGCTACGGTCCTTCTTCTTTTTCTTCTTCTTCTTCTTTTTCTTGTCCTTGTCATTTCCACCATCACCATCATCGCAAGGCCAACCGTCTCCGGTAGCAGCATCGTCCACGGCCCCGGCGGGAACGGATCCGTCTTTGCCGTAGGGGTCGTTCCCGACTTTCGTCCAACTGTGCGAGGAAGCATTCGAAAGTCCGGGTGGAGATGCAGCCAAAGGAACTGTCGGGATAGCCAAGGGGGTAGCTGGTGCCTGCTGAACAGGAGGCGCAGGGGCTGGAGCAGGTTGAGCAGGCGGTTGCTGTTGATTCTGCACCATCTGCTCGACCATAGCCCTTAGCTCTCTGATCTGCTTCTCCTGCTCGCTGATCGTGTTCATGGCGTTTTGGTACTTCATCTCGGCTTCCCTTTCTGACTTCATGGTGTTCGCACGCTGCTCCGCATTCATCTGAATCTCGCGTCTCATGGCCTCCGACTGGCTTTGGAGACCGGCAATGATCTCACCATGCCTTGCCTCCGCCAGCTGGGCGACCATGGGACCGGTGTCCTGATTCACGCTGGTTGAATTGGGCATTGTTCTGGGTAGCGTTGATCTGCTGATAATTCGTCACGTCCTGGTTGATCGTCATTGATGGATCGAGGTGGACGTTCGCAACATGTTGGTTGAACTGATTCATGGGCTGTGGCATAGGGTTTCCCCTTGCGAGGTCGGTCTGGGGGTCGTACATGACGATGTCACCATGCCGATGCCGATCTGATCCTACAGGAGAAGGAGATCGAGCACCAGACCGCCCAGCCCTCCCCCGGTCACTCCGGGATCGAAGTGATTCGGGGCCCTGACTGCTCAGTGCTTGTCCCTTCCTGATGAGCTCCCTGGCCACTTGGGAGTTTGCTCGACTAGTCGGTTCATATTGCGAGGCGTCTTCATCGCCTGCTGGCTCACCAGGTGTGGGACGCACCTCGGTATGGGGTAGTCCAGGGTCGCCATCCATGGCGTACAACTCTGTACAAAGAGCCGCTTACGGCTGATAACCTATAGAACAGGTTAAACAACCGGGAAGGGTCACAATTGAACCCTGTACTCAGCGCGCTTTTTCCTTGAGCCACGTGCAGTCGTAATGATGAGACTGCACAAGTGAGACATGCATGCATTGGGGTTTACATGGTTGATAAATACATCACGTTGCAAACTACACCAGGTGCTAAGGGCCAGGCCGTACGGGAAAGGCGTCTGCACCATCCGAACCTCGAAGAAGCGCGCGGGTTCAGCAGCATTGAAGTCAACACCAGTCTTATGGCTGTCAGGGGGCCTCCAAAGAGGAATTGGACCCCGGAAGTGGTCCCCATTAGCCCCTAATAGACCATATTAGTCGCTATTAGCCCCTATTGGGATTGGGGGCCCTTGACAACCATAGGAACCATTGGAAGGAGATGCTGTCCTTTCGGATTTAGCACAATGTTTCCCAAGTGCGTGACACTTATATAGTATTGAAAGGGGGGCTCATGTCTTTTCAGCTGGGGTGCTCCAACAGGTCAAGCAAAATTTTGCAAGCCAGGTGACACCTGGATCCTGACTGCAACTTCCAACATCCTGCCAAACCTTTTCCAACGAAAGAGCATTCTGAATGGCAAGGTAGGCATGAAGGCCAGGGTCTGACACACAACAGTCAAATCTGTGGAATCAGTGAGTCTCCATTTTGTTTCGAAGCTTAGGTAGTTCCCCTTGTCCCTCCCAAATGGACCATCGACAAATCATCGTATGTTAACCCAATCCTACTATACAACATGGCCACTCGCAGGCACCAGGAGCGCGGCCCACATGTTCTCCTCAGCGCACCGAAAATCGAGCAACCCCCGTATGACCGAGGACAGTGACTCGACTGATGAAATTAGCCTTGCCCACTAGTAACAAAGATGACTCCTTGCCGTGAGGGCAACCTGTTTGGTCGCCCCTAGTTGGGCGGGTCATTGTTAGGGGACACTCAACTTGCTTTGTTTTCCGCTTGGTTTCCCCTTTTAAGACCACGTACCCTCAGAAACAGACACACCCAACTACCCCAATTCACGGTGCTGCAGGTAAGCGCAGCCTGTTCAACCCATGAGGCCGCGGCCATGTTGCGGTCGTCCATCTCCCAGTAGTAGCGGAGCTGCGAGATCCACTCGAAGGACCTCAAGGCACAAGGCACCATTTCAGTGCACTATCAGGGTGGCATGTGGCCATGGGTCAAATCCCGAACCCCCCAGTGAAATCCAAATCCCCACTAAAATAGACTAAAATGGGTGGTGCACCTACCCCAAAGTGGTACCATTGGTTTTGACCCACAGCCATGCGGCATGGATAAAGGGCCCAATCAGAAGGGATTCATGGCCCCTCAACCCTTTTTCTTCGATGCTGATGTTAAGGTGCTGCATGAGCAATGCGGAAACCAAGACAACCATGAGACGTAAACAACTCGAGCCCCCAGACAACATCGTAACATGTTGGACCATGTGCCCTGCGCATTGCCACTTGGGTTCTTCGGCCAAGTTGGTAAGATGTTGGCCTAGGTTGCAACCCACCTATCAGTCCCCCGGGAGTCCCCCGAAGTGGGGGAAACCTTGCTATTGGGATGTTATAAGTGGCTATCCACTCTTGCTGGAGTAGACACAGTTTGGACAGAGCACCCACAAGGCATCTGTGCAACACATAGCCATGACCCCATGACAGTTTCCACTGCCCCGCCCACAAGGAGGGCTCGTTGATCAGGCTCCCCTGCATGCAGTCATCGATTTTCTCCTTTGCCAGCTTCTCCACTGTGTCCTGCCAGGCTTTGGCGAATGAGACTCTGAAGTGACTCACGGCACCTGCAAAGAAAACCATAGGAAGAACTGAAACAAAGGGTTGCCGGAGACTTCAGTGATCTTCACTGACTCATGGCACCCGCTGAAAACCATGGGACGAACTGCTTCTGAAACAAGGGATTGGCGGCGTTGGAAGGTAACAATCCAAAAGCGTTAACCCTTGCGGGCAGCAGCAAGAAGCCAACGAAACAACCAACCAATCAAGAGCAGTGAAGCGGAATGTGACTTGATATGCAGAAAACTGCCGCAGGGCCCTAAAAACCATATGTCACTGATGGGCAGGGCAGTTGTATGAAAAATATGCCTTGCTGTGAGACACAAGTAGGCCATCCCCTAGACGGCATCCCAGGACGCCCTGAAACCCAATTTCCCACCATGGGATCTGTGGCGAGATTTGGTTTTGGTGGATTTTTTGACACTGGTAAAAAACATAAGTGTGGGAAGCATGTCCCCAAACATATATTGGCTCTGTTGCACGCACATGTGGGGCACATGTGGGGCACATGTGCGCGAGAGCCAACTTCTCATTGCCCTAATCAGGCCAAATACATTTTCTGGACGCTCACAGGGCAGTGCGCCAATATTTCTTTGCAGTCTCCGCAAAATGACATAGCAGCAGGTGAAACATGAATGAAGGAATTGATGCTGCCCTTATGCTAAAAGAGAGGGTCCACGGGGGTGTCCAAACAGAAGATACCTGTCGTCTTGCTGACGGTTGTCAGCCCCAAGCACAACATGTTGACGATGCGGAGTATGGCGCCATGCCTGCGATTGCCACAAGAAAGTCGTGAAAATAACCCCCTGCAGCCCCAGAAAAAGCGAGAAAAAGGAACCCCCTCTTGGAAAAAAAATGAGTTACCTTCAACCAAAACAGCGGCGAGCAAGTCGACAGCTGGAGTCTCTTCATTGGGGAGTCGCCGCATTTCGCGTAAAAAAAATTGACCCCGGATTTTCAATTAAGCCCTGGCTGATTCCTAGGATGTCACGTTTGAATGGGGCGGGTTCAGACCACTTTTGTGGGGCCCGACACCCCCCAAAACAAATTATGCAATCCAAAGCAGGGCCTTGGCGTGGACATCGATGACCACCAGTGCTCCAATGCTCATCCTGCGGATGGAGCCGGCTCGCAAAGGCATCCGATTGGACAATGAGGCACTGGCAATCAGCATGCGCCTTGCTTTGGGAAAAAAAAAAAAAAAACGAAAAACAAAAAACCTAGACCCCCTCGACCCCCACCTTCCCCTCGACCCCCGACCGGGGCCCCGGGCCGCTGCAACTTGGTAATGTCGCCCCTGACCAGGCGCACCTGGGCCAAGTGGCAGCTTCGGGGCTTAGGGGTTTCGGTCGTGGCCTGGCTATCGCGGCAGAGTCCAAAACCGGGCAAACCTTGGGCATTCACGTGATCGCACGTGATCGCACATTTACGGGAACATTCTGGGTGACACTGGGAGGGTTGCGGGGTTCTTAGACGCCACTCTTCGTCTTTTTAGTCTTGACAGGTGTCCCTCTTTCCGAAAAGTCAACGTCGACCCCTGAGAAATGAACCCCCGCTTCTCAGTAAGGGGGGCCCCTGTCGAGTGGGGATTCGGGTCTTCCAAGGGGAACCCACTGCTTGGTTGACGTTGGGTTAGGGGAGCAAAAAAGTGATTTTTTAGCAGTTAAGCGGGGATTTCAACCACTAAACCACAATATAGTAAGCAACAATGTAAAATGTGTCCTAACAACAATTATGCCTGATTGACTCGGGGGGTTAATGATCAATCAGGGGTCAACATTAATTCCACTGGCCCAGTGCCACCGGCAGAAGGGAGCCCTTGGGTTGGCCATTGAGGCGAACCCAATGCAAAAGCAGACAAGGGTGCTTTGGTGGTTCAGGATTTTGTTTCCCATTTGCCCTCCACAAGAACCAGGAGTCCAAATCCTAAACCACCACTCCAAACCACCAGCCTGACGGGTTGGTGAGAATAGAGGTTGCCTGGGGCCGTAAGAATCTCCTTACTCCCAAGATCCCCCCTACCTTAAACGGCAGGGGGGTGGGGGTCCCACAATTCCATTCAGTTTTCCCCCTTTCGTGAGGGAAAATGGAACCCATGCAGATCTCCAGTCGAAATCCCCCCCTCCCCCAGGAATTCCAGGGGTCACCCCCCCTCCCCCAATTCCATTTTGAAGGGGGGGATCTCCCAAGATCCCAGCCAGGTCCAGCAACTGCTCGGAGAGTCTCGTGAAGTAGCTCTCCGTGGAGTTATCTCGGCAGGGTCGTCGGCTCGTCCCCAGCTTTGCGGAGAAAACCGCAGACATTTCAAGAGGAATGCCACAACTGTGCACATGGAACCTGAGAAAAACCTCGTTAAAAAAATACCCTTTTCCTCAAAGTATCTCTTTCAGGTCTCATGTTTGCCTTTAATCTAAACATTCATCTCCATGTAAGCTCCTTTGCGAAGCATGCGACGTCATGCGATCAAATGAAGGGGGGGGGGCCTCCAACCCATGTTGGGGATGATTTCTAAAGGGAAACCAAAGGGCGACCAAAAATGTGTTGGCCCTGTTCTGAGACAAACAAATTTGCCTCAGCCTCGACAGCCTGTTGGAAGCTCAATAGAACGCGTGAACCAAAATGGGTCCCCCTTTACTGGGCAGTGGGGTTGATCACTTTTGGAGGGAACACCCCTAACAATAACAAAAGGTTTAATCCGGGGTCAACATTATTAAGATTCAAAGGGTTGGGCTACAGGAATTCTACAGGAAAACAGCTGATCTAGTGTGTTTTGGGGCCATTTCCTCTAGATTTTCCTGTAACCAAATCCTTTGAAAGATGAAGCGGCCAGCCAGAAGACATATTTCTTCCCGTGGATTCTCCCGCAAGGCTCAGTCCTAACAGCCGGCTCGACGTGGAAAGCGACCGAGACCGCGGCTCTTAATGGCATCCTCCACTTCCGCCGTCCTCAGTTGGGCACTCGGTTCTGGAGAGTGGGCCAAGCAACGGCTGCAGGGTTTCGGGTTCAGGCTCTTTTTTTTGGGTACCGCATTCTCTGAGGGCCATGAGGGTTTAGGGTTTGGGTTTTTTAAGGTTTTAGGGTTCAGGGAGGGGTTGGGGATGAGGGAGTTCCCTGTTTTCTCAAGCGATGGCCTCGAGGAATCGGGTGATCTTGTATCTTCCTGTTGTGGCTTCCCGAGCTCTGCCCATCTAACTGCATGTTGAACACGGGGAGGGGGGCGACAAATGCATGATCAAACCAATCTGCCTACTGGGATATGTCTAGATGTGCTAAGCATGAGTGACTTGTTTCGGTTGCCCCAATCTTTCGCAAAGGGATGATGAATTTTGTCACCATACTGCTGGGGATGGACGGTTCCTTCCACCTGTGTGTGGGTGGGGCTTGCGGCCCTTGGCACGAAGGAACCACCGAAAATGTTCCCGGGAAATGACGCACATTCGCCTCCCAAAGCTTGGTTGACGCTGGAAGGGGAGCAAAACAAATTAAATTTTAGCAGTTCAGCGGGAAATTCAACCACTAAACCACAATAAGCAAAAGTGTAAAAAAAGTTTCCCAACGACAACCATGAAAGGACAGTAGTCTGTCCGAAACCTCCTATCTTCAGCTTGCGGATGACACCCCGATTTCCTCGATTCGCGCCGAGGCGCCAGTGTACCTGGCTGGAGTTCAGGCACACCTGGCCCGGGTTCTGGAGCACCTCAAACGGTGCGGTCAAGGCACCACGCGGCACGTGAGCTCTGCACCGGTCTGGTCATTTGAGCCATAACCAAAACCTGGTACTAAAATGGTGAACCCAGACTTGCGTAAAGAATCAAAAAGGCGGCCGCACCCATTCATGGCTGGGATTGCCCCTTACTACCCTCCAATTACCCGGGTTTTGATTGTGACTCAGTTTGAGAAACTGCGCCCAGTCGGTGGGAAACCAAAGAAACCAAAGGTTCTGGTGACCCTTTGAATGACATGGGCGAAATCGGCTTGCGACCAAAATCGGAATCGCCAGCTTTCCCTTGCCGAGCCCCGAGCCCATTCTGTCCTGGCCATCTCGGGGTAGGTCTCCACCTCAGGGCTGCGGCAGGTCGACTCTCAGCTCATACTCAGCTGGGTTTTGCTTTCTGCGAAGCCCTGCTAGAAGTTTTACTCACTTTTAGCGGCGCAATGCGGAAAACCCAAATTAGTTGGCAGAAAACGCTAAGGTCCTGACATCCCTTGGCAAAATGCAACAAAGTCAAGTGATTCTCCCTTCATGAGCCGCTGTGTGTGGACAGCCACCGATTCTCTAGTAAGTTTTGAGAGCCTCTTTATGAACCCAGACTTGAACATCTTGGTCTTGGCGGAAGTGGTCTCCCAGGGTTCCAAGCAAGCATCCTGAAAGCTTAACCTTTCGCCTTAACTAAATACGGACCAACTCAAGGAAACCTAAAGGTCAAAAGGTCGATTCGCTTTGGGCAAGAAACTAAGGCGAAACCACACATAGGCGCATATGTTTTCTTGTGTGGAGACGCTCCGGGTGCCTTTCTGTGGAGTTGGCAGCCCTTGTGAGGAAACTGAAGAGTAACGACCCAATCAAGGAGCTTTCCGATTTGGAGACAACCCCAGTGCCGCGCCACGATGCAAAACAACCCGGCAACACTTGTACTCCTGTCATGCCTTTCACACTCAAATGATGCATGTGGTCAGCGTCACGATCAAAACCTGGTGTTCAAGCGGTCTTAAAGAACCAAAACTCGAAATCCACACTATTTACGGTCGGGGCTGTCCCTTTCCTTCACTGCCCTCGGATTTCAATTGTGGCACAGCTTTGTCCATCCTGCGTTGCAACCCGCCGCCGCTCGCGGAAAGCCCAAGGAGACGTTTCCGAGGAGTGGGCCCCGATGCGGCACACGTTCCGCACTCCGGCGATCATCTCATTCTCCACTTCCTCAGGAGGCTCGGGGGCAGATCCGAGGCACCAAGGTGAAGGTAGATGCCGTGGGCTGCCCGTTTTCAGATCCCCCGGTGGGTTAAATGGAAACTACCACTAAACACTAAAAGGCTAAAAGGCCAAGGGGATGGCTGAGAGCCACCAAGTGCCATTTAATTGATTTGATAAGGGGATGACTAGCCCGAAATCATGATGGGGGGATTGCATTTGCCCGTCTAGGTTGACCCAACTGTACATCAATTGGTGGCTAAACACTTGATCTCCCAGCACTTGATTGTTCAAACCGCTTGCGTGGTGGCATTCATTCAACCCGAAGTCATGTGAACCGCACATCAGGAGTCGTTTCGTGCGGCGGCTTCACAACTCTTGGAGGAGATGACCCCCTCTGAATAGGACGGGTTCTACTTAGATCCGGTCAGCATGGCACCGCCAGGTCGCAAAGGCACCCCCTTCGGCACCAAAAGGCGCCCAAAAGTCCAACCGAACAGAAGAGATCCCAATGAAAGCAACCTTCATCATAGCCCCATTTTGACTGACACTGCTGTAGCTTGGAATAGAATCAACCACCATGTGAGACTAGTTCACTAGTCTCCTGGCCAATGGAGCCAGCCCAGGGGAGCGCGCGATCCTCTTTCCGTCCGCCTTTTTCCGTCGGCTTTGCGACATGCCAAAGGCTTCTAGCTTGGCCTCAGATCGGGAGAGGCTGAGCCTCAAGCCCGAAGAAGCTTCCCTTGGGCCCCAAAAATCCATTCCAATGGCTATCCCAGCCATGTTTTTAGCCTTTGAGCACTTGGACCCTATGCTACAAACATGCTTGTCCTTTGGTGCAAGTTGGAAACGTTTAGCGCCCAAGCGACGGCTCGCACCTAAAATCAGAAGGGCGGAGGAGGTGGCGGTGGAGGGGGCGCAGGTGCTTCCGATCTGGTCGCCTCAGGGACCTGCAAAGTGACGCGGGTCATGGCCGGCGCGCCTTCCTTGGCAGGCGCAAGGCATGAAAAAATGTCCAACCCACTTAGTAAGTAGGTGATAACCATGGTTGCAAGGGAGCCACCCCCAGTTACCCTCTTATAACTATGGTTGTAACATACTTACAAGTAGGTTGAACATCGAAGCAACAAGGCCTGGGTCCAGAACTGATGCTTGCAAACCTGCTGAAAATCATGGCCTGTGGCTGAGCCAGGCCATTGCTGAGAGCTAATGCAGGCTCACTTGGCATAAGAAATCAAGACCGCATATCAATCAACCCAGTTTATTAAGGGGGTGTCCCTGGGATTGGGGGAATCATCCACCCACCCCATTGATAAACAGGGGTTGACTAAATCCGGGGCCCACACCAGCGACCAACCGCAACCTTCCAACCTTGAGGCCTTCCGACAGTCTGCGAATCCGCAAGTGGCTCAAAGTACTCGATCCCTTGGCGCCAAGGAGCGCCTTGCCCGCCCCAAGCAAAAAAACAAAAAACAAAAAACAGCAGCCATTTGAGACCTTTCGGCGGCCCTCCCTCATGGGAATCCGAGTGTCCGGAAAAACGCCTCCCTTTCACTTCTCGAGTGGATTGGTGCAAGCGAGTCTCAACTTGTTGCTGCCAAAAAGCTTTATTTCGGTATGGGTCAAAATTAAACCACGAGGGGACGGCAGGTTTTAGTCCATATTGTATTTACCAGGGTTCCATTTCGGGTACCAATGTTTTGACCCACAGCCATTGGAGTCCAAACACGCTGGGAGTCAGCCCACTTCGCTTGAATCAGCAATTCTTAGGGTTCCGAGCACCTCTTTTGAGACGCACCCGGTTGCCTCAAGTCCGCATAGTTGGGTGTGTGTGTGTGTGTCTTTTTCCAAGTTGGTACCACCTTTGTTTTACAGGCGAGCCGAACGGACAACCACAAACATGGGGGGGGGTTACCCCAAACCAAGGCACAGCCATTTATTTTTGCAAAGGGATGTCCCATATCAGGGTTCCTGCCACGGGGCTGGCACCAGCACCTGGTGGCTGAGCCCCAGGTAATTCACCTGCAACACAGTGCCCGGCACAGCCCCGAAGGGAATTGGCACGTCCACCTGCGTGCTGCCGGCCGACTCTGGGTTGGCAAAAGCTCCATCACGCACATGCACGCTCGCCCACCCGGGCACATGCACGCCCACCCGCCCACATGTGCACACGCACCTGCACCTGCACCTGCGCGCGCAAGCACGCAAACACATAACCAAACACACACACAAAGAAAAAAAACACGAGCACGCGCACACAGACACACAAGCACGCACGCAAACTTACACACAGACACAGACACAGACACAGACACAGACACAGACACAGACACAGACACAGACACAGACACAGACACAGACACAGACACAGACACAGACACAGACACAGACACAGACACAGACACAGACACACACACACACACACATGCATAAGCGGCCAACACATCAAGTGAACCTCCATTTGAGGCTGAAATTGCTTAGACTGCTCTGCATGAATTGCATTGCATTCGTTGTAGCGGTCTCACCCCGCCTGGTGGAATTGGTATCCCGGCACTGGGCCCTTCTGATCCTCGTCCGGCTCCCAGTTCTCCCGCACCGCCTCAAACCTCGAGAAGCTAGGCTTGGAGAGGCTATGCAGAGGCCTGGTTGGGTTTTCTTGTCTCTTCCCCCTGCAAGTAGTCAAGGAGAAGTCTTTTGTGACGCTGGCAATAAAGGCGTGCCACCTGCAAACTATTTTGCGCTCCCATGCTCTGCTCCCTGGGTGGAACTTCCAGGCTACCAGGCCTGCTGATCGCGTGGAGGCACAGAGCAAAAGGCGGGAGTTAGAACTCTCAGTTGGTTTGTTCTCTGAACCATACCAGTGCCCTTGTCTCTGACGTGCACATACATAGTCCAAAGCAAGGGGGTCGCACAGAAAGGTGGGCAAGTCAACTTTCAACGCCGCCCACTGCAAATACCTCCTGTTGATTCCAGAAAGGCAGGCTTTGGAGGACCATCTTAAAAGGCCCCTCTTCCATGCTTTCAAGGGGATTCCGATGGATTCCGCCTGTGGCTTCCCCTGCCAGATCCGTTGGTAGCAAAAACATCAAGTTGTTTGCAGCCCACCAACAACAAAGAGTCTCAAACACTTCGAGAACAACGTTAACAACCCGACGAACTTTGAAACACCTGCAAAGACCCGCTCCCCCAAAAGACGAACACCCACCTGGGTGGTTTCTTCAACCCCGCAAAGGCTTTCCCCTTCGGTTCTTAGAACCCATCGTCCCTTTGAAGCTTTCCGGTTCAGAGAAAAACTTGCTGGTGCAATAGGCAGGGAATGAGTTGGAATGACCCTCTAAATTCCATCCCCTGTGGCTTGCTTGATTTGGGAATCCTCAAAACCAGTTCATTCCCAACACCCGGTCTCACTCGTGGTCATTCCCTACCTGTCGCACCAGCAAGGTAAAGAATTCCGGCTCGGAGATTAATATCAACCATCCAGCGGGGTTTCCTCTGAGGGACTCCCAACACACGGAATAAATCCCCTCACCCGGAAAGGCAGGGTTGTCTTTTTGCTTTTGCGAGAAAACAGGCGACCCCTCAAAAAGGAATCCTTCGCTACAGGAAAGTCGATCATTTTCCTCATTTTTCCACCAAGAAGTGGCCAAAAAAGGCCCCCCCCCCAATCCCCCCTGCCGTTCCGGTCACTCCCCACCTGCCGAGCAGTCCGATCGGTCCGATCGGTCCAAGTCGCATGAGCTGCTGGAAGGCGTGGAAGTCCTCTGAGGCGGTCAGCGCCACCATCAGGGCCTTCCAGTTCACCTCGCTGCCGTACACCGCGCTGCAGGCGGCAAAGTACTCCATGAACTTGGTGCCTCAGCTCGGATCAAAAACCGACCTCAACCGCAAACACAAATATATACACATTTTAAATATGTATATGCATGTATGCACTCTGTATATACATACACATATGCATTCATTTATTGTCAGCCCCTTCAATGATCTGCCCTTTGCTTGTCCGTTCAGTAGTGTTATTTTGCTTTTTGGTATTGACAGTGTGCATGCATATGTGCATTTATACAGAGACACACATATACACACATACATACATACATACATACATACATACATACATACATTACATACATACATACATACTTACATACATACATACATACATACATACATACATACATACATACATACATACATTACATACATACATACATACATACATACATACATACATACATACATACATACATTACATACATTACATACATACATACATACATACATACATACATACATACATACATTACATTACATACATACATACATACATATACATACATACATACATACATACATACATACATACATACATACATACATACATACATACATACATACATACATACATACATACATACATACATACATACATACATACATACATACATACATACATACATACATACATACATACATACATACATACATACATACATACATACATACATACATACATACATACATACATACATACATACATACATACATACATACATACATACATACATACATACATACATACATACATACATACATACATACATACATACATACATACATACATACATACATACATACATACATACATACATACATTACATACATACATACATACATACATACATACATACATACATACATACATACATACATACATACATACATACATACATACATACATACATACATACATACATACATACATACATACATACATACATACATTACATTACATTACATACATACATACATACATACATACATTACATACATACATACATACATACATACATACATACATACATACATTACATACATTACATACATACATTACATACATTACATACATACATACATACATACATACATACATACATACATACATACATACATACATACATACATACATACATACATACATACATACATACATACATACATACATACATACATACATACATACATACATACATACATACATACATACATACATTACATACATACATACATACATACATACATACATACATACATACATACATACATACATACATACATACATACATACATACATACATATACATACATACATACATACATACATACATACATACATACATACATACATACATACATACATACATACATACATACATACATACATACATACATTACATTACATACATACATACATACATACATACATACATACATACATACATACATACATACATACATACATACATACATACATACATACATACATACATACATACATACATACATACATACATTACATACATTACATACATTACATACATACATACATACATACATACATACATACATACATACATACATACATACATACATACATACATACATACATACATACATACATACATACATACATACATACATACATACATACATACATACATACATACATACATACATACATACATACATACATACATACATTACATACATACATACATACATACATACATACATACATACATACATACATACATACATACATACATACATACATACATACATACATACATACATACATACATACATACATACATACATACATACATACATACATACATACATACATACATACATACATACATACATACATACATACATACATACATACATACATACATACATACATACATACATACATACATACATACATACATACATACATACATTACATACATACATACATACATACATACATACATACATACATACATACATACATACATACATACATACATACATACATACATACATTACATACATACATACATACATACATACATACATACATACATACATACATACATACATACATACATACATTACATTATACATACATACATACATACATACATACATACATACATACATACATACATACATACATACATACATACATACATACATACATTACATACATACATACATACATACATACATACATACATACATACATACATACATACATACATACATACATACATACATACATACATACATACATACATACATACATACATACATACATACATACATACATACATACATACATTACATACATACATACATACATACATACATACATACATACATACATACATACATACATACATACATTACATACATACATACATACATACATACATACATACATACATACATACATACATACATACATACATACATACATACATACATACATACATACATACATACATACATACATACATACATACATACATACATACATACATACATACATTAATACATACATACATACATACATACATACATACATACATACATACATTACATACATACATACATACATACATACATACATACATACATACATACATACATACATACATACATACATACATTACATACATACATACATACATACATACATACATACATACATACATACATACATACATACATACATACATACATACATACATACATTACATTACATTACATTACATTACATACATTACATTACATTACATTACATTACATTACATTACATTACATTACATTACATTACATTACATACATTACATTACATACATACATACATACATACATACATACATACATACATACATACATACATACATACATACATACATACATACATACATACATACATACATACATACATACATACATACATACATACATACATACATACATACATACATACATACATACATACATACATACATACATACATACATACATACATACATTACATACATACATACATTACATACATACATACATACATACATACATACATACATACATACATACATACATACATACATACATACATACATACATACATACATACATACATACATATACATACATACATACATACATACATTACATACATACATACATACATACATACATACATACATACATACATACATACATACATACATACATACATACATACATACATACATACATACATACATACATACATACATACATACATTACATACATACATACATACATACATACAATACATACATACATACATTACATTACATTACATTACATTACATTACATTACATTACATAACATACATACATTACATACATACATACATTACATACATACATACATTACGGACCCACATCTACCGGAAAATGCGCGCTTGAATTTCACCCTGGCGCATATGTATGTATAATTATACATACACATAGGTCAAGTTTCATCGTTCAGCCCTAGAATGTTCCTTGTTCATTTTAGGGGCAAAACCGCCTCCGATGATCCCAAACGTTGACCCAGTGTGCCAACGCTCAAGCTTTAAAGGAACCAAATATTTTACCACGCCCCATTCCGGCACCGATCATGCCCCCACCCCTTACGGCCACTTGTAGCCAACCACTACAACTGAACAGAACCAAACAACCAAGCAACCAAGACAAATGCAAAGAACAGCGATTTGTTCCCCAAAAGATCATAAAACGTGGGCTTCAGTCCAAAAAAAAAAAAACATTTCCATGCACAGGCGCACTCAGCGTCGCAGTCGTCCAAGACCTGCAGCAGCTTGTCTTCGTAGATCTTCCGGTACTTTCTGTGAATATTCATCCATTGCATGGGGCAGCTCCCATCCGGGTGCACCACCGCGAATTCCTCGATGTGGCAATTGACGAAGGTCTCCACTTCATCCAGGAACTTGGGATCCCGGAACTCCGTCAGAACCCGCTGCACCACTTCGTCCATTGCGGGGCCGATCAGATCGAGAGCTCGTCTCGCGGTCCAGTAGCTGGTTTCTGCACTTTTGGTGCTTTGCATGATGTCAGGCACATCCCTGCCATTTAGTCACAAGAAGTATCGAAATCCCCTTGACTTGCAACACTGATCCATCTGCCAAGGAGCAACCTACCCGGCTTACCTTGAATTGGCTGCACTCATTCCCTTTGACGGCGGCTACTTCCAAGCCTTTCCGCAGGAAAGAGCTGTGAGCAGCCAAGCACGGCGCGACTGATCCGCACCAACTCACCAACCTTTTTCAGGTCACATGGCACAATCAGAGCACGTGCCCTTCCTTGAAATACGGCCACTTGAGGTCTCACGTCCGTGGATTGGCCAAACAAGGTCCGAACTTTTGATTCTCACTAAAACTGGTCCAAACCCAACAAGTTTCAACTGTCTCATCCCAAGCTCTAACCAATCCCTCAACCACCCCTGGGGTTAACCCATTGGTCAGGTGACGTCGGCCTTTCTGAGACGCCTGCCGTCATCCAGTTCTCCACGCTCTTATCCTTCGTGACCACGGGATTCACCTCGGTGAGAACTCTCCCCCTTGACCGATTTAAATTCGAGATCCTCTTTAAAACCAGGGGAAAAGAAACCAAGCTTAAGCAGATGGTAGTAACTCTGAATGAGTGGAATGAAGCCGGAACATAGATTAATCTTAAGCAAATCGAAGTAACTCTGAATGAGCGTAAGGAAGCAACCCAAGAGAAAGCTCCAGTTTGCCAACTCAACGGGCGGGTCTGACACACGTCCCTCCAAGGGCAATAACTTTGCCAGCAAATGTGCCCCAACCACACAAACCTATGGTTGGTGCCGATGAGTGGTCGCCACTTTTGAGGCTTCCCAGAAAAATGCCAGGGCATAGGTGTCCTTTCAGAGAAAATAGATGGCCCTGGTAGATTATTAAACCACCAGGTACACTAGGGCCATCAATTTTTCCACCAAAACCACCAAAAAGGACACCTCTCTACCACTGAGTTATGCCAGACACCGGAGACCCTCCACTGCACCCCGTGTGCTGCACCCAAGACCCCAAGGGCTTCTGGCGCCTCAAGCCCCCGGCGAAGTCGATGATCTCGCCTTCCTTGGAGTGCATCTGGGTGGCCACCAGCTGGTCCGTGAAGGTGAGCTTCTTCATGGCCTGAGTGTTGCTGAGATGCCCAGTGGGATTTTCATGGGGAAACAACAAGGGCACTTTCTATTGGTTGGTTGAGCTTAAAGGGGCACCTTTCCCAAAAAAAGCAAAAAGGGCACCCTGATTTTTGGTTGGTTCAGTTTAAAGGGGAACCCTTCCAACACAAAGGGGAAAAAAAAGGCGGAACCCACGGGGCAACTGGGCGACCGGGAACAAGCTCGGAAGATGTTCCACAAGTTTCGCGCGTGCACCGAGACGAGCCGGGGACGTGCTTCTTGTATTACTTTGAGGTGGTCCCGAGAAAAAAAACAATATATATATATATATACAAATATAAATACACACACATATATATGTATATATAAATAGCCCCATGGTTGGATCGGGATCGAGGCGAACTCCCTGGGTCCATTCGCCTCTTCTACGGGCTTAAGATGGTATAAGGCTTCGCAAGTTTATCCCAAAGGGAACTCACTTTGAAGAGGTCAGAAGGTAAGTTATGCTTAAAGTTAACTTCTGCCCACAATGCCCAACAACCACGATGACGTGCAAAAACAAACGCCGGCATTGAAACCTGCTTCCAGCGAAACTCCGCTGAATCTGCAAAAAGGGCGGCGGCCGCATGGCCAAAGAGTGCACCTTGTTTGTGCAGAGCAAATGAAAAGAACTGTGCCGATTTGAGTGTTCCAGTATATGTATGGATACACACATGTATACATATATACACCCCAAACTATGGACCTGCGGTGCGTAACTTACACAGCAGGCACTTCAAATGTTTCTCAGAATCGTAAATATTAAATCTTCAATCCCGACTTTGTTTTGCTTGATTCAGGATTCGAGAGTCCAACACGTAGTTGTCTGAATCTTCTCTCCTGTTTTCTGTTTGATTTTCTCTTTGCCCAATTTGGAGTCAATATTCAAGATTTCAACCAAGCCAAATTGCATCCTTGAATCTCCACATGTCTTTTTCAAAATACGCTTTAAACGAGAATGACACATAAAAACAAACCTAGCGTGTCCCAGTAGTGATGAGATGCATTCAAACACCTGGCAAATAGCAAATGGTGGAATCATTGCTTACATTGCACGTGCTTGCTTTTTTGTATATGCAATTGTATGTATATCTTATGTATATGGCACCCTCCCCATTGTGCCGCAACATCACCTTTGCAAACAAATATATCCAAGCAGCAAAACACATCGACCTGAGGGGCACCACACATATATATATATATATGTGTGTGTGTGTATATATGTGTGCATACGTGTGCGTATGCATAAATATGCAAAGCTATGACATATGTGCAATCTAATCTTTCCTTGTGGTTAGTGGTGTGGTGGTGGTGGAACCCCTGCTAGATCAAATCATCACAAAATGAGAAGTACGTCTCAAAAAAGGGTGGGGGCCCGGTCCGTTTGCGCAGCCTTTCACAGAGCCAACCTCTGCACCAAGCCGACAGGATCTGGGAAGGCCAAAGTACGGTTTGTGTAGGGGAGCACGCTGTGATTAGGGTGGGTGTGGTTTGGGGTTTGGGGCTGGGGATTGGGGATGGCTTAGGGTGGGTTCAGGGCTGGTGAAGGGTGGTTTAGCCTTGGTTTACAGTCATTGAACACTGGTTTAGGGTGAGTTTCGGGTTTGTTTAGGGTTGGTTTAGGGTGGTTTCAGGGTGGGTTGCCGGACTTGGTTAAGGATTTGTTGGATTAGGGATTCAGAGTTGGTTTAGAGTAGCCTGATGGTTGGTTTTCGCTGAGGCCACGCAAAGCCACAAAACGCCGCAACCGCCAATCCAAACGCCGAAAACAAAAAAAACAAAAAAAAAACACAGCACAATAGCCCTGCTTGACAAGGAACATCCAAGTTGGATCCAAAAAAAAGCACCGAAACTGGTGGCTCGGGCACCTGGGACGCCTCTGCAAGGAACACGGGTGCCAGTAACACATATGGCTCAACCTCCGCTTGCTGAAGCCCCTTGAACAGTAACAATCCAGTGATAGATTCCCTGTAACGCCAACCGCCGAAAACAGACAGATACTCTTTAGCAACTCACCGGATCCAGTTACCACTGTAGGTAACCCTTCGCCCGTTGTCCGATTTTGGGCTACTTCACCGTTAGACTTTGACTTTTTGGGAAATCAAGGGGTTTTCTACAAAAACCCCCAAAAAGTTGAAAACTTTTTGCAGGGGGGTCAACAGCAACCAAGTGAGATGCTTGGACTTTGTGTAGGTTACCTGCCTTTGACGGTGCCAAGCGCGGCCTCGAAGACCTTCGAGAGGAAGGGCTGCACACGCAGAGGGTCCTGCGTGAATAACCGTCAAACGGGGAGTCGGGCCCGGTGAAACATGGCGGGGTTTTGTGGGGGTCCCCATTCTTTTGGCGACTTTTTTGAAACAGGGCTTGGCACCCGGCGGAGTTACTCTAGGGGTTGATTTCATCGTTCTTAAACCAAAAAACCGATCGCTGTTTCCTCTGGGATTTTGATGGTTTCCTGAAAGGAAGGATCCCTGGAAAAGAATGGGGAAGGTACCCCTAGAGGTTTCCTTGTGGCTCTCTTTGAACCAATTGGTTTAACAATCGCAAAAAAGAGACACCCCCACTCCCAAACATGATGCGAAATCATGATGCGACATGAGACATTCGAAAACGACACGAGCAAAGGACATTTTGTTTGTAGGAATCTTCGTTGTAGAACAGGGTGTCATTGGATTCCCCCTTCAAAAGTTGTGATTTACTGGCCTTGACACATTATTGAAACTGCCACTTTTGGTGGTTCCAAAAACGGAAACGGAGGAAACCCTGAACATTCTTGAATGAAATCTCTGCCCCAAGGGGACCGACTCCTTTTCCGGGGCTCGCGAATTAAGTTGGAGGTACGAGTACAATCTTGCACCTGCCTAAACTTGGTACAAAACACAGGAGTCATAAACTCAGAAGAAGAACGAATTGGCACATCCAAGCCACCAATCCCAACCAATGCTGACCCCGTTTTTTCACTGTTGATTCTGATTGGGGTGTGTCACCGTTTGATGCAATCCTTCACTTTCATAAAAAGGGGGTCCCCACCAAACGTGATGAATCCCCGCTACAAAAGTGACACCCCGTATTAATCAACCAGAGGTTTATTCATCCCAGTCGGAGTTACCTTAACGAACAGAAACTGCAACGCCGATTTATCTAGTCTACCGAATAAAAGGAAAAATGGAACCAGAAATGGGTGTCGGTCAAAATTAAACCACCAGGGGACCGCCTGTTTTAGTCATGGGTTCCATTTACCAGGGCAAGCCATTGTGGTACCCATTCTTGACCCACAGCCAAATGGATTTCCCGGGGTCGAAATCCGACCCCAATTCCATAAGGGGTGGGGCTACGGCTCCTTGGTCTGAGACAGGATCTCCAGCAGCTCATCGTTGGACAGGAAGTAGAAGCGCGCGAAGGCCGCGCACCTCGGTGGATCCTTTTTCATTCTTTTCAACCATCGCTCTTTTCAAAAACCGGCCGTTGTCCCTGGGTTAAATGAGGTTTTTTTGGAAAGAAGCATCCCTGGACAGAATGGGGAAAGTACCCCTAGAATTTCAAGCGAAAAAGTTGGGAGGCTGACTTGGTTCGGTTTTGGGCCTCTCCCCTGCTTCTCTTCGCCGAAAAAAAAGAGCTACCCATACCAGAAGCTCCTGGGGCTTTGAATGGAAGACCCGAACCCTCCATTAGATACCCGGAGGTGGTTGGGGGTCTCAAAACCAGGTTGTCTGAAGTAAATCAATCCGGAGCCTCTGGGTACATTTTTTGCCAGCCTTGGGGCGGGCCCTCACCAAATCACGTGGAAACCAAGGTTGGCTTTGGCTCTTTCCCAAGGGTTCAGAGTGCTTCGTTGGTCGGGAGCGGACCTTTCTAGAAAACGGGATGTGAGCGAGTATGACCATGACAAGCGCGGCCTTGAAGTCTTTGCCACTCTAGAATCCACCCACAGCTCAATGCGGTTGATGTTGGGGCAAATGCGATAGTTTGTTTTGACTGACTCACGGCCACGGGCGTAAAAGAATAGAGGCTGTGGGCCATCAGACCGTTCCAATGCCAAAAAACACGCAGCCCTGGCACCAGTGTATGGGATGCTTGTTGAAGTCAGACAAAAGGGAGGCGAATGGAGGCGAGTGGACACGACACGCCAAAAGCGTCGGAAAGCCACCGCTGTTCACTCGCACCGTCTCATGCAAACCTTTCTGCGATAAAGTCAGCAACTGCTTAGTGACTGGATGTTCCCTTGACACAGTATCATGGAAAGTGGCCCTGCAACCCAAACCTCAAACTTCCATCTGCAATTATCGTGTACGCTTGCAAAACCTGAGGTAACTTGCTGGTTCTTAATTCGCAGGGAATGAGGGCATGACCCCTATAAACCATCCCGTACGGTTTCCTTTACGCGAATCCCTAGGTTCACTCCCAACACCCGGAAGGTCATTCCCTACCTATGGCACCAGCAAGATAAGACTTGGAGCGCCCCAAATCTCACATTATACTTCCCAAGCCTGAAACCCCCCCCAAAACAAATCCGCTGGTCCTACCGTAGGTGGACGAATTAATCAAACCCTTACAGTTGTAACGCGCCCCCTCGCAATGTTATTGCCCGGTTGGATCGGGTGGACAAATTAAATCAAACCCCGATGACATTAAAAGCGGTTGTGTTTAGTGTAACATTGACATTGGGGGGTACGGGGGGGTATGCGCCGCATTTTTTGGCGGTTTGATTAATTTGTCCATCTACAAGTCTAAAGGTCCTTTGTGGGGGTTTTGTGGAAATCCCCGTAATTTCACCCCCCCCCCCCCAAAAAAAAATACAGGTCCAACCCAATGGCAGTCAAGTCAATCGATCTCGATCTCACTCCGTCTCGCTGGGCTCCGGGGCTTGGTGGCCAGGTAGTCGTCCAGTCCCTTCTGGACCTTGGCTTCGTCTTTGGGGGACGGGGGGCCCACATTTCGTTATCTAGGTCCTCCAGATTTGATTTGAGAGGTTAGAACAAGGGTACCCTTTCTTTTATTGTGGTCCATTTTAGTAGGGGAACCCTCCCGCAAAAAAAAAAAAACAACTGTACAAGGGCACTACTATGCTTCCCTTCAGCCTGCATTGAAGAAAAGGCACAAACTTTGTTCAAGACACACCAACTGAGTCCATTTCTAAAGGCACCCTGAAAAAGACACACCAGGCCTTGAAACGAAAAACACAACTTCTTCTTTTTTTTGTGGGGGGGAGGGTGAATTGCCTTAAAACCCACCCTCAAACAAGGGGGGGCGAAGCTCACTCTTGGATCTTGGAGCTTACAGCTCCGGCTTGCCGCGCCGTCCAACTGGCGGAAGGCACCTGACATGTGGCCTCCATCAGCTGCCTCCAGGTTTATCGCCGACGTACACGTGGCCATGGGCCAAAACCCAATTCCGTACCCCCCGGTGAACATCCGATTCAATCCAACCACTAAAATAGGAAGCCTAAAATGGGCGGTGAATTCACCTACCAACCAAAATGGGCCCATTGGTTTTGACCCACAGCCATGTCTGGTAGTTTGAACAAAAAAAAACCGCCAACGTACGATGCGTACGTTTCCTTTAAGGAAAGCTCTCACGGCAGACAAAACACCGCTACCGCGCTGGCCAGCATCTGGGCATCTGCCCTTTTCGGTCCCTTCACTCCAAAAAATAGTCTGGGAGCGGGGGAGGGGCCAAACTGCGGCCCACGCAAAGACATCAAAGCCCAGCTTCTGAGATTCCGGGGTTTGACGTATGGTTGAAAATGGAAACTTTCGTGGAATTCTACCCTCCCTCAAGGCGGAAACTAGAAAGACAACAATAGCAAGGAACAAGGGCTACGGGTTGAATCCGAGGACTTCAAAGTGCACCAAGCGCCCCCGCCATATCCAAGTCCTTGTTCACTATCTGCCACTGCTGCAGCAGCCCCTCCTGCCATGCGGGATTGCATTGCCTGGATGCGGCTGGCGTGATCAGTTGGGCTGGGCAAAGCTTGTTTGCACCCCTGCCAAGCTCATCTGAACAACGTGCACCGGGTGAACCCAAAAACCGAAGCAGCCCCAAAGAGAATTCCGGCCCCTCCGACCCAGGCCCTCCCCCCAAAAAAGAAGCCAGCCTGCGTGCAGGCGGTCAGGGCGTGGCCGTTGCTGTGCACGCGGCCCATGGTCTGGCGCCACTTGCCTCGCGGTTCCCTGGAACATCTTCTGCTTTGTCAGTGGTTTCAAGAACCCGGAGACTTGGCTGGAATTAGGGCCCCTGGCAAAAAAACAACAACTTTTTGTTGCCTGGTTGGTGGAAAACAAAGGGAACCCCCCCCCCCCAAAAAAAAGGAACTGATTCTGGGGAAGGAAATCGCAGCTTAACCTTTTGGGAAATGGATCCAATTCGGAAAACCAAGAGATTAAAGGTCGGTTTTCAACAACTGAGGCTTTGTCAGAGGGTCCATTGGGTACCCTTTGACTCACTTCCGGAGTGGATGGCCCAAAACTTCGAACTCGTTGTTTACCACTGAAACAGTCCAAACCCGAAAAGCAGTTGATGGCTTGTGAGAGGTACTGGGTGGGTCCCTTGGGAAGGTGCCAACCTCGTACAGTACCAATCGTTACCAAGAAAACCCAAAACTTCCAACCATGCGAAGGACCTTCTCGAGAAAGTGGCCCAGCTCCGGAAAAAATCGGGAAGCAAAGCTTGGAAAATGGGCACTTGAGGGACCCGCGAAAGTGATGCATGGCAGAAACAAAAACGGCCCCTTAAAGGATTCGTTTGGGTGAGCGTTTTTTGGGGGGTACCCATCTTTTGCGGTATGGAAACCAAAAGAAAAAACACATTTGTTTTGGGAGGGTCCCTTAAAAAAGACACACACCCAGTTCGGCCAGTCAAAAGATCACTTTTGGCTGATTTCATAGGAAGTGCGCGCGGCTTTTGGATGTATCATGTATCCGTCAAGTACCCTTGAGCAGGGCCCCGAAAACGTGAAACTCCCAAAGATCATTTGGTGCATCAGAAACTCTCTCAATGAGCAGGTAAACGTTCTGTCGAAAGTTGCTTGCCCAACAAGGTCTCCTTTAACTCAAACCCAGTGCACGGCCACAGCAGGAAAAAAACACTAGTTGATTTTCAAGCTGAGTACGTGCGGAGGGCTTTGCACCCCCGGGTGTTGTTTGCCCCCCCGTTTTGGGGGCTCATGTTCTCTTTGGTCGGAAAATCGGGGGAAGTACCCTCCCTCCCACTAACATAGCACCTCACAGGGTTCCTTTGAAAGGAAACTTCCAAGTACCCTCCCGCGGGTGCCATGTTTGTTGGAAGGGTAACATGTTGTCTCCCCCTTTTTGGGCTCATGTTCTCCTTGGTCGGAGTAATCACCGGAAGCGGCTCGTGTGGTCAGGGCGAGCGGCCATCCACGACTTTGAACTTCTTGCCCTCCGTGGGCAGCTGCTTCATGATGTCCGGCCTCGGCACCCGTGCTGAGGGCTGCTTCGAGGGGAGGCCATGGGGGGGCCATTGGGACCGAGGGCCTGTGCCTTTTCTTTGGAGTGGAAAATTTAAAACCCTTTAGAGACGCGCAAGCGCGACTCGTCGGGAGATGGAGCGATTCCGATCAGCACATTTCATCATGGTCGGCTTGCGAGGTTTTTGGGGCCGGTCAGGAGTCTTGGAAGAAAGGCCTCGTTAGCCCAGTGAAGGAGTTCTTTACAGCACGACACGGAGCCAGAAGTGACCGGAGACTCGGGGATCAACCACCCAATACCTTGGGTGCTCACAGCCCCTGGTGCCCAAGTTGCTCCCCATTTTTGGGTAACCCTCAATAAATTCTAAGAAATTTGTTCGGATGCTAACCACATGATTGCCCTGAGGTGGCAGCTGGAATCCTGCTACTAGAACCCGTCTAGGTGCCCTATTTTTGTGGCTTGCGCAGCGAGCGCTACAGGCATGCCCGATGATGTCCCGTGCATTTGCACCTGGCCATGCTGCGTGCGTGCTCCCAAGGGAAGGGAGATAGCATGCATGCATAGAATTACAAGCGCATCAGAACTGTTCACAAACCGCTTCTTGCGACGCATGAAGATGTAAAAGTTTGCAGCGAAGGCTGCCGATTCCTATTCACTGCGCAATGTTGCACAATGGCGAAACACGGGATTTAACCCTTGCTCTGTGGCTCCTTCTCGCGGATTGAAAAAAGGCCAGGCAACCTTGTTGGCTGGTCCTTCCAGAGATGAAGCGACTGGGAGGAGTCGGGGCAGCAATACTGTTGCACGAAATCCTACAGCTAAAATGGATGAAGTTGTCTGAATGGGACAAACCATCTATTCACTGGTGCAGGATTCTGGATTTTTGTCCATCCATCCTCCCTGAAACAAGCGTAACAGCTGACGACCGGCTTTACGCAATCAACAATTCTTTATAGATCTCTCCAGTTCCAGCGGAAAGAGGCTTAGTATGTCTAAGAGCCAACTGGCATACCACAACTGAACATACCCCCAAAATCATTGGCTTGCACAGGGTACATACCCAAAAAACCAGCCTAGGGCCTGTAGGTGCGGTATGTTCATAGGTGCCCGGCGAGTCGAAGATGGGCTGCAGGTACATCCAGGCCTCGGCACGTGGAGGTGCTAGTCCCTCCTCCAAGAGAAGGCAAACATATGTTCAGATTTGGGGGGCTGTCAAACCTTGCTGGTGCGATATGGGAGGGTTTAAATCGAGGTCATTCCATTTTCCCTGCCTATCGCACCGGCAAGAAAAATATGGCCTTTTTGGGAGCTGGCGCCGCCTTGTGCTGCCTGTTAAAGGGGATACCAAAAAGGGGCCCTACTTTTGACTAGGATGGTGGAGCATCCCCTCCCGCCAATGAACAACCGGAACCTGAGGTTCGGGAAACGGTCCCATTAATACTAACATGGACCATTCCCATGACTACTTCAACGCTTTAAAAGGGATCGCAAATTATTCAAATTGCAAAGCCACACCAATTTTCCAGAATGTTCAAAGTGACATCCAGTTCCGAGCCGGGTTTGAACCATCTATCTCTTTGATCCAAAGAGTCATCTGGAACGCCCTCCCAGAGGAGCAAAGATGGCAAGCGAACGAGGCTGAGAAACTACAGCCACGGCCATAGTGCCCATAGGTGGCCTTCTGGAAAATAGATGGCCCTGTAAATGGAATAAACCCCATCTAAACCAGGGCCCACTTGCTAAGCAAACCAACCAAAAAGGACACTTCTGATAGTGCCACTTCCTATGATCTGGCGTCCATTGGGCCTGTGGCCTTGTCACAGCACACCCTTCGGCTCCGGATGCTGTGCCGCACAACAGCACACACCAAGCCTAATCATTAGTTGTGCCTTTTTCTTTGGGTCCCATTTTCGCGAGCTTGGAACAGGACAAATCGAGGAACACATGCTTTGTTTGAGCTGATTTGGGTGCGTTTGAGGGAAAAGGATGGGTTCAGTGTGGGTTCGTTCACTTGCCCAAAGGACCTGGAAATGAAAGGTGCTCACAACCTCGTCTAAACCAAATCAGGGCGGACACCTCAAACAAGGTCAAACGGTTCTAGGAGTAGAGAGGTTAGAATAAGGGTGCCCTTTTTTGCTGTAGTCTAGTTTAGTCACCCCAAAAAAAAGGTCAAGAGGGCACTACTGGGGGACGTACGTAGGCTTGATTCGCCGCAGGTTTTTTGTGGAGGGGATCAGTGGGCCACCCTGCGCGCTGCACCTTGAGCCACTGGTCCAAGCCTCCGGCGGGAAGAGCGGTCCGAATGCAGTCCGAACGACAACAAGAACCGCAGGTGTGAGTGCCAAAATACTCACTTGCCGAGTGGATGGCCCAAAAACAGTCCAAGCCTTATATTTGCCACTAACATGATCTTCCCAAAAAACTAAAGTTCATGAACTCAGAAAGTGAGAATATGGGAACCCCCCAAAAAATTGCCTTCTGCCCCCTCCTTTTGCCCCCCTCCCCCAAAAAAAACAAAACAAAAAACACGGCCAGAACCGATAAGGTTTATGTTTCTTTTGGGGGGGGTCACCCACAAAAGTGATGTTTCATCCCACCGGAAGGGGCCGCATCGGGTGCTTCTTGGGGTTAACATGTGCTGCTGTACCGCAGGTTTTTGAGCATGCTTGAGAAAACATTGGGATTGACCATTAGGAAACACACAAAACAAACAGTAAGGAAATTGAAAGCAATACTTTCAGTGGAAAGGTCGGATTGCTTTGGACGCCCTTGAAACCACCCAAGACCTGTGACAACAGCGCGCCCAGTCGAAAACGTTCCAGCGCGGTTCGGCATGTTCTCCTATTGGATAAGTGGCCACGGGTGGAGAAAAACATGCCGCGGGTGTCCCCTGACACGATGGCTTCAATCAATGCCAACAAAAAAGCTTGTTTGCTAGTTTGTTGTCCAACCAGAACAAGTTTTACGGTGTTTTAGTGCGGGATAGACCACACAGAAAAGGGTCTTAGGCAGCTTAGGCAGCCACTGAAAATCTGGGATTGCTCACAGAACCTGAAAGGAGGCTAAGAGAGCCACAAGACTTGACCAAACTCGGACCCCTGCCAAAAAAAAAGAAAAACTGCTGCCGCCGTTCCAATGCTCCATGCAAGCCTGGAACGATTTGCGCGCACAGAGAGAAACAACCCAATATGGGGACTCCCTAAATGGCTTCCCTTTCCCCCCCCCTTTAAAGCAACCCTGAAAGGGTACCAAGGCGGACCCCGCTTCTAGAGCGCACCCCTCTGACCTCTGGCCCTTGTTCCGGCCAAAGGGGCATTCTGAGACGTACATCAGCTTGTCGTTCCATTCGTCAATCTCATCTTTGAAGGGCTTGTTGAACGGAGAGAACCTGAGCGAACATCGGCGAATCGGCCGGCGAATCGCCCTGCGCTGTAACGAACGTGCGCTGCATCACTCTCCCCAAAACATTGAAATCCCTCCACTTTAAAGGGCAAGGGGGCGGTGTCCCCCAGTTCCATTTATCCAGCCTTCCCCATAAAAGGGAACATGGAACCATACATGGAATTGTCAGGGCCACCTCCTGCCCAACTCCATATTTAAAGGGGTGGGGGAAAGCATTGAAGCCTTCGCTTTTCTCCGTTGCTTCGCGGCAGCATACATCCTCCTGGCAAATGTCATGCTACGTAGCGTGATGAGGCAGCTATTTCGAGTCTGAACATCTACCCTGTCACCGGCAATCAGTGAACTACACATACCCTTGGCAAATTTATGTGCTATGAATGTGCCTTGAGACGAACACGCAGCGATTGAAAGTTGGCCCAAATCTGGGGTACGGAAAATATCTGAAAACAACACGTTCCATATTTCGCCTACCCTGAAATACAAAAACAGCTTTGGAAAACATCCATGCAAAGGAACCGCAGCTGAGCCAACCCCGGAAGCCCCACTTTCGGTAGCCCTCAGGACCTGAGTGCTACAGACATAGACTTTTGAGCTCAAAGGGTCGGCTCAAGGGTCGGGACTCTACATGTGAGTCGTCTTTTTTGAGGAAGCCTTTTTTATCTTTTTAGGGAACGTCTTAAAGGGCGATCAAAAGGAGAACCGAGCCATCCGGGCACGTCCTTTTCTTTTGAGGGTACCCCTTCTCGGTGGTTTAAGAGGGAATTTTATAAGGGGGTCCCCTAAAAAAGACACACCCATTCTCAGCTTCGGGACAAATTAAGAGGGAAACCAAGAGGGGAATAAAAACACAATTTCAGGAGGTCCCCTGAACAAACAGACACAAAACAATTTCCATTTTGGGCCCCGGCAAACCCCCCAAAAACAGAGGGACAGCTCCATGCGTCTGGCTGATTTACCTCCCGTCCGTCAGTCTCCATCCATCAATCCCTCCGAGCCCAGCGCTGCATCGCCTGTGTCACCACGATCTGCTCGTCCAAGACCGCCATGACCTCGTCGGCGCCCTTGAGAATATAGGTGCCCTGAGCGCCCACGTCCGGCTGCTCCCCGACTTGCTTGTGTTGTTTGTGCGAGTGGGGGGAGGGCATTTGTTTCTTGACTCGTTTGTTTTTGGGGGGCTGTTTCTTCTTTCCTTCCTTTTCTTTTGAAGGTGTGGCATAAGGGGAGGGAGCTATAATTACACGACCTTTTCAGGATGTCCCATTGATCATTATCAGTCATCACTTTTGAGGGGTGGAGCAATTGGACTTTCGAGCCTAAGTCAGGAGGTCTAAAGTTAACTTTTCACCTTGGTTCGCATTTGGGTGGCAGGTTTGCTTTCCCAAGAACGCCACTGTTGACCCCTTCTTGGACATCCTCAGTTGGACCGGGTGAGGACTCCTTGTTTCGGTGTTTATTGTTCTTGTTTAACCCAGACTTAAACCGAGAGGGCCCGCTTCCCTTTCGGGGAAATGAAGGGTTTGAGTCCACACCTCAAATGGCTGTGGGTCAAAACCCTGTACCCCCAGTGAACATCCCAATCCAACCACTAAAATAGGTAACCTAAAATGGGTGGTGAATTCACCAATCCCAACCAAAAAGGGATTCCGTTTAACAGTTTTGACAACCACGGCCAAATGCCACAAGGGCAGATCCGGTCCATTCGCTTTGGCTCAAGAGCGCCCCACAAAGGGGGGGATACCGAAGGCTTCGCCTTTGTCGAGGGGTACCTTCCATTTCCATTCTTTCCAGGCATCCTTCTTTCTAACCCCTGGGTTGAAACAGATCCGGTTTTTGAAAAGAACCATGGTTGAGAAAATGGAAAAGGAGTCAACCCCTGGAACACTGGCTTTTTCAGAAGGAGTCTTCGTCTCCAGCTGGCTCAGAAGGGGTCTAAAGGACTCAACCAGAGCTTCGCTCCTCGCGTCGCTGCCCAAGGCTTCAAGGCCCCGAGGCCCCGAGGCCCGCGCCGTGGTCCTGTAAGGCTCGCTGCAGTCGAAGAACACCTTGTCCCAGGCAGCCTTGCGTCGCCAGGCCGTGGAGGTGGGTGTCGCGCATAGGAGCTTCAAAGGAATGACTGGCCCATCAAAGTTATTCCCTACTTAAAGGACTTCTTTAAAGGAATGACTGGCCCAGTATCAAAGTCAACCCCCCAAGTGGACAGCACCACTCTTTGATAAGCCACGTTCAGTCAAAATAACGGCCCCAGAAGGCATGCAGAAAACCAATGCATATGTTTTTGAGAGAGGAATCTGGGCGATCCCTCTCTGCACCATTCGAATTTTAGGGATAGTGCCACTATCTGAATGTGTTTTGGGAACGACCATGCTTCCAGCCATGCGTCAGGCCAGCCACAGTCGCGTCGCTTCAACAAAAATGCGCGGCAGATCCTTTGCAGTGCCTCGGTTGCTAACAAGCCCACCCCACCCCCCCAAAAAATACAACAACAAAAAGCGATGCTTTGTAAGCCTTCCCCCCGGAAGCAAGCAACCGCCAACCCACTCGCCCTTTCGGCCTGCATATTCTTCAGCTGGTTCTCGATGTTCTGCTCCTTGAATTCGTGCCCCTCTGACCCATGGACCGGTTTCCAAGCGGTAGTGATATCTATATATACTCGGTTGCGTTCTGCTCCCCTGCGAAAAGTTTGACTTTTAGTGGTTTTATGGAAAACCCATTAGTTGGCAACAAGTTAAAGTCCTAACATCCAAGCAAAATGCACCAAAGTATATATATATATACAGGTATATCTTGCTCTCGCTCTCTCTCTCTCTCACTGTAGTGCTACCCCGCAGATCCCAAATTAGGAGCACTCTTGGCCCAGGACACTCTGACAAAGCCGGCGCATGTTATGTACATATATATGTATGTATATATATATATATATGTGTGGTCCCCCCCCCCCCCCCCCCCCCCCGCCCCACATATTTACATGAATGTAACTTTCCTTGGTCCGCAGGGGTACGCAGAAAGTAATGAGAATGTCCGAATATGTTTCTTATTTAGGATACACAACTATGACAACTTCGTTGTTGACAAAAACAACCATTTCAGATTCCGCTTTGGGGGTGTCTTTCATTTGGGTGTGAATTCATGTCCACCAACACTTTGGAGGTGGTTCCAAATTAAGCCTCATAGCCATTTCGGAGGGTCTTTTTTTCGGGGAGACCCCAAACCAAAACTAAATAACCAGTGTTCTTCCTTTTGGTGTTGCTTTAAAACCACCAGCGGGATGCCTCAAGAAACCGAACTGCCCGCCGGTCCGTCCTTGCCAGCACGGTCCCCAATGTCGGCCACGGCGCTGGCGTGATCCACGAGCCCGAGCCTCGGAAAAACCAACGCCCAGAGCCAGCTGCGGTCGTGCTGCTGGCGAATTCAACAAGTTCGCACTTCCCTCTCCGTGGTTTGGGATTTGTTGGGGCTTTGGGTTGTTTGGAGTGTGGTGGGGGGGGGGGCCTCCTTTTGGAGAATGTTCAAAAGAAAATGACACCTATAAAGCTGTGTGTGCGTGTTTTTAGTGTTTTGGCTGAGGTAGTACCCCTTTTCAGGCTTGCCCAAATGGAATACCCAAGTTCCTATTTTCAAGAACCTCCACACTTTGGTGGTGGAAAGGGGATGACGACTTCCCCCCCCCCCACGGAAACGGATCCTTGAGAACATCTGGAAATGCTGACCTCCGTGGTCCTCTTCTGGCTGGTTCCCTCCCTGACTCCCTCGGCTGGACCGAACCCCGTCTCTCAGGCGAACCCCGTCTCTCGGGGCCGCGCTGGACGAAATTATCGAGGGTGAAGTTCTGACGGCTCGCGGAAAACCACGGAGAAACTGAATGGGTTTGTCCCACAAAATGGCCAAATGGGTCATGGTTGGTTTCTCTTTAAGCTAACCCTGTCTCGAAATACGGGTACCACCCGAAAAAAAATACATTAAAAAAAATCAAACAACACAAACTGAACAACAAACACCACCTCAAATCTGGGTCATTCATCCAGAGCCAAGGATTAGAAGCTATACCCTTAATTTTGAAGATGGGACAAAACTCCGAAACCCGGACTCACCCAGGCAAGGTAACCGAAAAATGTCTGACCTGCGTGTTTAACACTGAACTGAATTTCTCCAAACCTTCCTCTGCCTCGTGGGACAAGACGACCCCCAGTCAAGCTAGGGGGGAAACACCCGTTTGCAAAGGCCGGACACACACCCGGTGGAAAGGCCTGAAAGAGAAGAAAGCAAACTCAGCCCTTGATAAACTCCGCTTTCACCCAACAAATCGGGTGCCGAAATCGGGTGCCGGTGCCGGAAGGCAACCAGGAAGAAACTGGCCTTTGGAATCCCGGATTTCCCAAAAAGGTCCAAAACCTCGGGAAGTGAGCTGCTTTCCTTCAAAGGAATGATCCAGGGTTTTATGCTGTGGATGTGATTTTTGTGTGTGTGTGTGCTTGTTTTTTGTTGAGGTGCCCCTTGTCAGGTCGGAGAAAGGGGCATCAAAAGTAAACATGTCCTTGGGCCCAACTGGGCATCAGAAACACTGACTAGGTCCTCCAGTAGAGAAGTTAGAATAAGGGTACCAACTGTTTTCTGTGGTCTATTTTAGGTAGGGGAACCCTCCCAACCAAAAAAGGGGTGAGAAAGGGCACTACTGGGGGACCTAGCTGAAGGCCACAACTCGACCTGATCTTCAGATTGACGCCCTGCAGCAGTTTGGGCGGACCGGCAGGCAAACCAAATTGGGCATGAGCCCAATTCGGCCAATTAATTGGGATGGCTACGTGTGAAATAAGGGACGCCCCTCAAACGAGGTTCTCCTTTCGATGCCTTTGAGCTGAAAGGGGCACCCTCAAAGTACAAACAACGCAACATCCCCAATATGAAACCATGGATTCATCACCAGCCACTTTGAAGGACCCACAAGGACTCTTTGCTGGGCGTCTTTCAGGTGGGGAGTCAGCTAACCACCAGCTACTTGTGGTTGGTGCTTCCCTATCCCATCAGGGAACTTGTGCTTGCATTTGTGGAATATCCTCGGCTGCAGTGCCTCAAAAAACCCAGAGCTCCATCTCGCCCCTGAAAACCGTCGCCACGAAAAGAACAAAAAAAGGCACTGCCATTATATTTTATGTTTTTACTTCATCATTTTGCTTTTTTTTTGTTTTTCTTCGGTCGTTGATTGTCTATTGGGCATCTGCTCCAAACAAGATTCTAAAAGTTGGCACCACTGGAGGTCCGGGTCGTCTCCAGCAGCACCCCAACTATATAAGGGTACCCACTTTTTTCTGAATCGTCTATATATTTTAGTAGGGGAACCCTCCCCCAAAAGTTGGTAACAGGGCACCTAGCCGGGGGACCTAGCCGAGCAAACAGAAAACGCAACCGTTTCTGCGCCTCCATGGTCGGGTTGACCGGAGTGCCCACGAGGTTGGACACCTGCTCCCAGTGGCGATCCGCCATGCCAGGGTTCCTGAGGCGCATCGAAGGAGCTTCCGGAAGGCAGGAGGCAGAGGGCAGGGAACAAGCCCAGAACCGATCTGCTCCAAAGCCTCCACTAAGAAATGAGGCATTTACCATGCGGGTATTTGGAGTAGGGGGGGTTGCTCGCACAATAGAAATCCGAGCCCATCCCAAAAAGAATGCCCTCAAAGAAGAACACACCCACCTTCGGGCTGGCGAATCACCCAACTCCTTTCCTTGAAAACTGCAAGTGGTTTTTGGAATCGGGACCTCGCGAAGGAGGTCACCTGGCGGGTCAAAAGGCCTTGGCAGGGAAGCCGTCAAACAGATCAGCAAGAGCCTGCAAACCTGCGGGCCCAAAGATCTGGACTACGTCACCCCGAGGATCTGATGGGGAACGGACATCGTCACCCCCACTTTTGTGCCAACCTTGCCTGTAGCAACGGGTGATGTCGGGGTTCCATGTGACATCCAGTTTCAGGGTGCCCCGACTGTCATATTTCGCCTGGGCTTCGGGTGGTTGCCTCAACAGGGTGTCGATATTTGCTCTGTGTGTGCTCTACTGTGGATGGACGAATGCTGCACCACTTTGAAGCCATGGCAAACCATTGTTTGCTGGTGTTTACAGAGGAATCATCATTCCATGGTTGCTCAGGTGGTGCAGGATTTCGTCCATCCACAGATTCAACCCAAACCCACCCCAACTCAACCCAAAACCCATCCGACAGCAGCCTTCGCCGAGCCCAAATGAACCACAAACCAACCCCATGCCGGCCCTAAATCAACCCGAGCAACTCCCAACTGCTACACGTTCTGATCAAATGGTGCGGGGCAACCAACCAACCAACCAAATAACCAGCCAGCCAGCCAGCCAGCCAGCCAGCCTAGTAAATAAAAACAGGAAACTCACCTGTGCGCCAGAAATGCGATATGTAAGAAGCACCCTTACAAACATATATAGGGACACGCGTTTTTTATGGGCGTCGCCATATTTTCTGTGGAATCGGTTGGTTTCCCAAGCCAGCCAGCCCGGAAAGGGCCAATCCGTGGCCCTGGATCTAAGCAGAACCCCTGGTTGATTGTTTGATCGTTCCAAATCCTAGTGCCTGGATTCAGACCTTTGGAGGGGCCCCACCCTCCTACTTAGATCCGGGGTCAACATTCCTAGCTGTTCCCCAGTGGCCTGAACCCCGAACAGGGGACACCTTGACCCTTCTGCTTAGATCCGCAGTTCCTAGTACCGATTGAAAAACGCATCATTCTAGAAAAAAAAGGGGGCCCGACAAATAACACACCCAAAATGGCTGGTGCCCTTTTGGTTTCCCTTTGAGACTGGATGGAAACAGCGGCCCAAGTTCTGCCAAGGCTCCGCAGTCCCACGACCAATGGCACTTTGGGCAGGAAGTCGTCCATCTGCTCCTGATTGAATCTGTAGGGGCTCCCCCGCCAAACAGGGCAGCAGCTCCAGATAATTGAAAGTAGATAGCGCAGTGTGCCCATTTTGGTTTAAGACATCCCCTGCACTTGGGTTGCCCTGTCCTTTTGTGGGTTTAATGGACAAGAAACTTGATTCCGAAAGGTCTAAGGTGGCAAGGTCATACTAACGACCAGCCACGAAAAAAGGAAACTGTGCCATTCACTTTCAGCCCGTGCCATCCACTGCAGAGTCGGCGAACCCGGCCTTGATATTCTTGGCGATCTTCAGCACCTGGCCGGCACGCCATCACAACCATGTGTCTGTGGCTCAAAAAGCCGGCACCAAAATGGAACCCTGGCAAGGAAGGTCGTCTAAAATGCTTGGCTTCCTTGTTGGTTTCCTCCCATATGGGCGCTTCTTGAAACCTTAGACCCTCGGGGTCCGACAAAGTGATCTTGAACCGCCACCGCTTAGCATGCAAATGAGCGGAAAGTATCGGAAGCTCGGGGAGGACACCTCAACAACCCCACCCACACATGACAAGAAGACGATGTATAGTTCTAGGCACAAAAGGCATAATCTCATCATGCAAGACTTGTTGCCAGGCTACTCGCGAGACTTTGTTGATATTTTGCTAGTGGCACGACAAATTGCAGCCGCATCGGGGAAGGCAATGCAGCCTAAACTCTAAAATGATTGCCTCAACTTTGGAGACTTGTAAGGGGTGCCCGGGCCTGCTTGTTTAAGCACGCTTTGCTCGCAGCAAACAAACTCAACACTCCAGCCCCCCCCCCGGCCTTCAGACACCGTGGGAATCCTGCATGAATAAATTTCTGGTTGATTCATAGGGAGGAAACATCCCTCTATTAGGACGGTTTTCATGAATCCGGGGTCAACATGACCCACCACTACTGATCACTTTGAAAGGGCTTCCGACTCACCGCGCCACCGAATGCGCTTTTGGAAAAGCAGATGGTGCTGGTACCGCTGAGAATCAAGCTGAATGGCGTGGCTTCCAAAGAAGAACCCTTACCTTGCTTGGCATTTCACCTATATAAAGGGCTCATGACCAGCACCCAACTCGTGTTGAACTGAACGAGCGGAGGGCCAATCCGCAGTCTGAAGTTTCCGCTGAAAGCAGGGCCGGAATTTCCCAAGCCGTGGCCTTGGCTCTCGAAATGGGATGTGGGTTTCCCCACGGTCCACCTAGGTTTTCTTTGGGAGTCCCTTGCAGCTGACTCAGAACACCAAACCTCAAAACCCAAGCACACCCATGGCCCATATGGCCATGGGCTTTTCAAACGCCAAATCGGTTAGCCCCCAGTGAACATCCGATGCTATCTAAAATGGGTGGTGAATTCACCTAATCCCCAAAATGGTAGGGACCATTGGTTTTGACAACCACGCCCAATCTAATTAGATGGGCACCCAGCTCAGCTTCTTCACCCATAGGCCTCGTCACAGGACTCCCGCTTCTCGAAGCTCTTCACCGCCTTGAAGAGCGTCTTGGTGCCCGCCTGGCAGCGAACCAAACCCAGGCAAGCAGGCAACAAACCAAGCAACATGCAACCCAACAACCCGACCTCAAGCAACCAGCAACCAGCCCAACAAACCGAACAACCAACTAAAATCTGCAATTGTTGAGAGGTTTTCGATTTACGCTCGCCATACAACAAGCAGAGTAATTAACTCATCACCCAAACCCAACCCAAAGCAACCCCAAGCAAGCACGCAAACGCATGCACTCAATCAATACTTGTGGGCGAGCGGTAAATTGTAGAGATAGTGGCAAAACCTAGCCGCCCACCAAAAGCAACCGACCCAAGTCCTGTTTTGAGATGCGTTGCCTGCTAGATTCCCCCATTTCTGTTTGGAAGCTTGGTCAGTTGGAGTTGGGTGCAAGTAACGATGCAATTGGTGCTGCGTCCTTTATCCACACCTAGCTTGCTTCACTCGGGTACCCGTGGCAACGGCATTGCGAGAGCGAGGCCCGCCCAACCCGAGACCCCGCCATGACGCTGGACTCGCACACTTTGGAGTCCACGCTCTGAAAAGGCCCTGTCCTCGGCAGGTGTGGAGAGCCAAGAAACCTGCAAAAGAAGAATGGCGCTTCTCCTTACATGCCCGGAGGAAAGAACAGCACGTGGCCAAACTTTGATCCACGGAAGCAAAGAGGCCAGCACCTGCATGGGGAGGGTTGAACTCTGCCTGACTTGAACTTTCATACGACCCAAAGCCCCAACGGCCACACCTGGCCACAAAGCGGAAGTTCAGGACAGGCCAATTCCAACGCAATGAGATGAAAACTGTTGCGATGCAAAAAACCCGAAGCCTGGCAGGCATTTAGCTTTCAGGTGGTTGACATAAGATGCCTCAGGCGGGCAGAATGCTCTTTAAAACGTGGCCAGCCACTCCCCTTCAATCAAAGCCGACAGGCAATCCCATCCCATGAAACTTCTCCAACGCCCAGGGGAGGCCTGGCCATGAACATGTTTCTTCTGCATATTGTTTTTTGTTACAATACAATCAAGACAAACCTTGAATACTGGCTCCCCAGGTAAAGAACGACTACATCATGGTGAGCTGAGCTCGTTTGACCCCCAAGTGCGCTCGCCAAAAAATCTGCACATATATAAGATGTATGTCGCAATCAACTAATTAGCCCATCCAACAAGTTGCCACGAAACTGCCAGGTGTGTTTTCTCTCAAAATAGAAATGTAAGGACCTTTCTGTGTGTGGTTGGATGGCCCCCATTAAATGAAAAGCTCGCCACTGGGACCCCATATCAAGCAAGTGGTCACTGGGCACGGCTGGGCAAAGAATCTGTCTAATGTTGACCCTGGCTTCATAAACCCCTCCAATTTACATGAATCGCCACTTTAAGGGTTACACCCCGAATTTGTCAACCCGGGGTTGGTTAATCGGGGTTCTCATTCAGATTAATCCTCAATCACAAAGTGATATGGGACATTTGTTGCCTTCAAAAAAACACTCCTCCCACTTCCCGAAAAACATAGCCCCTGCGCTATGGCACCTGGAAGGTCAATTCGCTCTTGAAGGGACCCCCTGTCAGGACTTATGTGGAAGCGAGTTTCCCCGGTGAAGGAATTGGCCTTTTTCAGCCACAGTCACGTAACTCAAAATTGTTGACGCCCCTTCACCTCCGCGTTCAGCTGAGATCAAACATCCCACAACTCACAAATCACTCGATCGATCGACACGTCCGGTTGGGGTCCCCGGCAGCCACTTCTGGGAGTCATAGGTCCAGTTGTAGGCCGTGACCTGGAGGCCCAGCTGAGGCGAAAAAGCTGGGCTCACGTGTGCGTGGATGTGCGTTTTGAGCTTCACCTGTAAAGGGAGATGGCTGTGGATGTCAAAAATGTGTTCCCAAAATGGCTTGCCCTGGTAAGTGGAAACATGCACCAAAACCTGCGGCCCCCTGGTGGTTTTATTTTAACCCATGCCCGGACAGCAGCTTGACACTCAGCGCCAAACACCCATTGACCCTTGGTTCTAGCCCAACGGTTAGAAAGTGTTGTGTAGGCCTTGCTAGCGCTCTAACCCCGGCAGGGAGTCAGGAAC